GGAAAATATTCTTTAGATATAAACCTAAAATCGCCAGTAGGTGGCGGTCACTGATCTATATAATGATATATTCTCTAGATCAGTGGGGCTGCAAATCACTGTATGAGTGAGTCACTGAGTCATTCATTCAACCGATTCGTTCAAACAGAGGATTGATTCAGTAATGAACCACTGCTGTGTGTTGCTCAGAGACGCAAAACAGTTCTGCTGTGGCTTTGTTTGGAACTATTTCCGTTGACGAAATTGAGCAAAAACAAGAACTGTTGTGTCTAAAATGTAAGTCACTTAATATTAACTTATTGTTTATTGAACTGTTCATCAAATCAATATCACATTTGCAATCGCACTGATATTTGGAGAAAAACATCACTCTTCGTGTGATATTAACTATATCAGATGATATCAATATAAAAGACATATAAAAGTCATACAGGGGCATATTTGCCCCCTTATCTTGAATTTTGTTTGGTTTTAGCGATATACTTAATTATGTCAAATCGCATATCATTTAAACAACAATTACGATATTATCGTAAACGATATATATCGCACACCCCTATCGCCATAATTTCAGTCTTTACATTTTTTTACACAGAAACCCACCAGTTTTGTAGACTGACCCAGAGACTGAACAAGACAGACAGAGAGACACACAGAGACAGAGTGAGACAGAACACAAAAAAGGAGTGCTCAAAAAAGTCATCTCTGTGTAATGGTGTCAGATCTGACTAACAAAGCACTCGATATCACCAACCCTGAAAAACATGGAAGAATCAAAGACATTATGAATGAAGAGAAGGAGACATACATACAGCATTGGAAAGAACAAACCAAAGACCAAAGTCGTCTCCAATGTTATCTGAAACTCAACAGAGAGTACAGTCTGGCTGACTATCTGGTCTCAGTCAGGAATATAACACACAGACATTTACTGACCAAGTACAGACTGAGTGACCAGCAGCTGGCCATGAGACAGACAGATACACACAGAGACAGAGTAAGACAGACAGAGACAGAGTGAAACAGACAGAGAGACACACAGAGACAGAGTGAGACAGACAGACAGATAGACACACAGAGACAGAGTGAGACAAAGTGAGACAGACAGAGACAGAGTGAGAGACACACAGAAACAGAGTGAGACAGACAGACAGACAGAGTGAGACAAAGTGAGACAGAGAGAGACAGACAGAGAGACACACAGAGACAGAGTGAGACAGACGGAGACAGAGTGAGACAGACAGAGACAAAGAGAGACAGAGACAGAGTGAGACAGACAGAGACACACGGAGACAGAGTGAGACAGACAGATAGACACACAGAGACAGAGTGAGACAGAAAGAGACACACGGAGACAGACAGAGACAGAGTGAGACAAAGTGAGACAGAAAGAGACACACAGAGACAGAGTGAGACAGAGAGAGACACACAGAGACAGAGTGAGACAGAAAGAGACACACAGAGACAGAGACAGACAGAGAGAGACACACAGAGACAGAGTGAGACAGAGAGAGACACACAGAGACAGAGTGAGACAGAAAGAGACACACAGAGACAGAGACAGACAGAGAGACACACGGAGACAGAGTGAGACAGAAAGAGACACACGGAGACAGAGTGAGACAGACAGGCAGAGAGGCCAGGAGCCGGTATGACACATCCGTGAGTCATGGTAACCGAACAGATTTAGTATATCCACAAAATCACAAACGAGCGAATCATTTTTTCCTCCTGCTGTTTTTCCTTCGTCTCGCTGCAGTTCTGCTTCTGATTCTGCAGCTTTTTTGGGGCAGCGATTATTTAACACACGTTTCCTTTCCGCCACATTCCGCTCACAGCTGATGGCACGGAGAGAGCGGCAGCCAATCGGCTCGCAGCAATCAGCAGCGCTCACAGATCTGCGCTCAGATACGTCAACATTCATTTCACATGGACCCAAACAACGAGATGCTCCATACGAGAGCAGACGCGAGCGCCGGCGTTCAGAACAAACAGTCTGGATCTCACGTTTCCAGAGAGGATCAAGTGAATCGTGTGTTTGTGTGCAGATCAACAACAGAAGGACGTTCATGTTTCCGCCAGTGAAGCGTGTGACACTAAATACCACCGTCGTGTTTGCCGAGGCTCTGCGTCAGGACGATTCACTGCAAATGACTTTCAGGACAGGATTCGACCGTAAGGATGACTCGTACCTCGAATGGGTCACTGCTGCTGCCACTGAATACTTACATTCATTAATCCTGTACATCCAATTATTTTAATATTATTTCTAGAAAATAAATCATTATTGTTGAGCCCTGTATCAAAGCTGGTTTGAATCTGTCACAGGTAAGAACAATGGATTGAATCAGTGCAATGAATCCACAGAATTGACTGACAAAAAAAAAAAAAACTACAAATTATATATTGACAAAAAAACAACAACATTAAAACATATCAGACTGCTGGATTTACTCTCTATACATACATATTTATTTATTTAGAGAATGCAGTGGGCTGATGGGAAACGCGACAGTACCTGAGGGTTGGAGCATTTGAGGTGCACTGGCTGCAGGTCCACATGCAGACACATGATGAAGGCGTCTCTGCTGTCAGGCTGCAGTTTGGGAGCGGTGAGCGCCAGCGTGGAGGTGCATCCCACCGGCTCGAGCACGCTGAGAGACCGCTGCTGTCCCAGGAGAGAGTAGATGCTCAGCTGACTCACACACACTGTCCACGGGAACGCATCGCCTGCACACACACACAGACACGCGTCACACTCGTGCTTCAGAACGCACCGAGAGAAACTGAAGAGTGCCGCTCTCGTACCCTCCTCCAGCACAGGTCTGGGCACAGTGAACGGGACGTCCTGCAGCGGCTCCATGCG